ATATGTATATGTATATGTATATGTATATGTATATGCATATATATATATGTTGTGGCCCAGCAGGAGCCGTTGGAGCTGCCACCAGACTCCGACAGCGAGGGGCCCTATGAGTCGGCTTTGGAGGATGTGGAGGACCCTGGACAGGGTTCTGACTCCGAGCAGGGCGCAGAGAGGCTGGTTGGCCACCAGGAGGGGCCTGAGCCTTGGACCAGTGGGGAGGAGACAAGGGAGAGTGGTCAGGACATCAGCAGTGAGGAGGAGCCAAGGGAGTTGTTCCTAGATGCCCGGCACTGGAGAGCTAATAGGCATAAAGAGGAGTTACGCAGTCAAAGGAGGTAATTGCACTCAGCTGGTGGTAATTAGGCTCCTCTCCAGACTATAAAAGGAATGCTTGTGCACACGCTCCTTTTTGCAGAAGTCAACGCATTCACTAATGTTGGAGAACTGTGGTGTTAGCTTGGCAGTCTGGATTGCTGCCAAGGCTTGTCTGTGCTGGATTGCTGCCAAGGCTTGTCTGTGCTGGTTTGCTGACAAGGACCTGTCTGTCTGTTAATAAATTCCGTAAAGTATCTTTGGCTCTGGGTGCTTTGGTGTGGGATGGGGGGGGGGGTCAGAATAGTCCTCACTCACTGATTGGGACTGGCAACTCCATCACTAAGTTTAGTATGGGGTTGCCTGTTTTCCCTCCTATGCAACCTCTGACCACTTGATTGTGTTTTGTAGATTTCCTAAAACTGTAAGCTTGAACCTTGAAATGATGGTATTGTGCGTGTGAATGACTACTTTGAATTTGTTTTTGACTACTTCAGAGCACTTTTGTGTTTGCCCTCACATGGTCTGTTGGAGCCAGCTGTAAAGAAGAAGATCGATTGAAGTTTGACAAGATTGTGCGTGAACTGCTTCAAGGACCGATGACTGATGAGACAAGAGAAAAGTATAAATTGTTGAGTGGGGTTGAGCATTTCCGGGCAAAAATCTTAACTGTTCCCTATCCAGAAGATGGAACAATTTATGAATATCGATTCATCAAAGATGTGAGTGTATTTGTTTTGAACAGAGATTTTCAGAGAGTAACTGATAAAAATCATTTTCAAGATGATTTCTGATCGTAATCTAATTGCTTGTATTGTGAGATTTGGCTCTATACAAATAAAAAAAATAGCTGTGGAAGTAGGACACATTTATTTATTAAGTGCTTGATGCCCTCATTACATTATGATAATAAGCAAGAGAAGTAAGATTTGCCATTTAGATAAATTTATACTTATTCTCATCAGGAAGATGTTATCTAAAGTTGTTTTTCAGCTGAAGTCAATATGCTTTTAATCAGATAATTAAAATAGTCCATAACCCTTTTCCATTGAAATCAGTAGAAAGTAATCCAGTGCCTACCAATAGAAAAAAATAAATTCCAATTATTCAGCAGCCAAAAAAATCTGTAGGGCTGGTTACTTAACAGGTGCTGGTTAAAGGTTGTGGTGTGTGTGTGTGTGTTAGTCTGTGTTTTGGTTTTATTGGGGGGAGGCAGAACCTGCCCCCCAGAACCTTGCTTTTAAATGTCTATTCAATTTGCAAGTTGTCCAGAGTTGCTGGAGAGTCAAGCAGCCTATAGATAAAACAACTAAGTAAATAAAAAAAACAAATAAACATATAGAAATTTCACCTTAGCCATTGACGGGGAAAAAACAAGGAAAATCAATTCTCAGTTTCTGCAGGGGTGATCTCTCCAGACCATGTCAGAACCTGATCCTGAATTTCAAATTTAGAGATAATAGCACACAGTGTACAATACTTGAAAAAAAAAAACTTTACAATCATTTGCCATTTATTATTAAAGATACAAAAAATAAAGAAATAAACAATGCTGACATAAATACATAGTTTAAAAGTGAACTATAAGCACGAAGTGCCTAAGCACTTTGAAATAATGGCTAATGCAATGAGATATGCATGATATAATTGGATCACGAACCTGCAGGTTCATATAATTTTCCCCTTCTTACTGCAATGCTTTCTGATTATTATTTTTTATTATTATTTATTTATTTGTTTATTTGTCAACATGTACAAGGTTGTACTTGTACTTACTTGTACTTGACGCCTCTTCACCCATCGTGGGTATAGGCGACTTCCATGGAAATTTGATGCCACTGTTTTCGGTCCTGTGCTAGGGTTGTCAGGTGGTGCAGCCAGTCGCTATTATATGATTTT